ATGATTCCCTGGGGTTTCCTAAGGATCCCCTAAGAAGTCCTACGGGGAAGTGCTTAAGGATGTGCTCAGAGCCACGGCCACCATAGGGATCCTATGGGACTCCTATAAGATTCCATCGGGATCCCATCGGATGCCATGGGGATTTCTATATGATTCCATACAGATCCTATGGGATGCCATAGGGATCCTAGAGGGGTCCTTCAGGATCCCACGTGGGTCCTATAGGATTCCATAGAGAACCTATGGAATTCCATAGAGACCATATCGGACTCCTGGAGGTTTCCCTTGGGATCTTTTAGGAGTCCATAGGGATCCTGTAAGACTCCTATAGGGTTGGTTCCATGGGGATCAGAATAAGAAGTCTCAGGGATCCTATAGGGATTCCTACGGACCCCTATGGAACCCGATCGGATCCCACATGGCATCCTACAGGATCCCACTGGAATCCTATAGGATCCCCATGGACCCCCATAGGACCCCTGTGGTATTTCTATAGGATCCCAATGGAATTGCATAGGTTCCCGATGGAGTCGCGTAAAGTCCCCAAATATCTTATAGGACCCCAATTGAATCCTATAGGGCACCAACACCAACAACCCAACAGCCCCGTAGGGCCCCGACGGGGCCACCGCAGGGGCCTCACGAGGCTGTTGGGGTGTTTGTGTTGGTGTGGGGGGAGGGGGGGTACGGGTCGTCACCGCACGTGTCCATCAACGACAACAACAACAGCAACAATCATTTAAGACTGGGGACACTCCGTTCTCACCAGTGCCAGGGTTTTCATAGGACGCCCGCCAATACCCCCACTTTGTGGGGGGGCCGGTTCAAGCTCTACCAAGTTTCCAAACGACTCTTCGCCACCACCCACACCCAGCTTCCCGCCCTATGACGTTCGGACACTTCACTTCGTGGCCTGCGGACGACCGTGGCTACTACACTGGCGCGTGGCTACTGCACTGGCGGATTGTGGCCCCTGGCAGGCGCGCGAACGCCGTTGAAAGAGCTTGCGAAAGTAGCTCGCGCGAGCTCTATAACAGAAATGTTGAAAAACCATTGGTTTTTAAGGATTCGGACAGCGCGCGCGGGTAGAAATTTTGAAAATTCGTACAGATGTTTTTCGAGGACCTACGGTGCGATTCGTATGATTTTATGTTGCGCGGTGCTAAAATTCCTAAGAAACCCAATGGTTTTTGAAGATTTCGGCGTGCGCGCGCGAAGAAAAAACGAATGTGTCCCGCATGGTATTATTTGACAGGGATGATGGCCCTGGCAGGTGCGCAACCGTTGTCGCAGAAGTTCGAAAAAGTTGCTCGCAAAAGCCCGTTTGACAGAAATGTTTAAAAAGTGTTGGGTTTCCTACGAATCCGCAAGAGCGCGCGGGATGAGATTTTGACAGTTTTTTGTTGAAAAACCATTGGTTTTTTGATGTTTTTATGTTAAAATCGCTGCGAACACTAAGGTTTTGGAAGGATTTCGTCTTGCGCGCGCGAATGTCCACTTTACCTTATTTTTTGCAAGGGATTCTTGAAATTTGATTATATTAGAACAAGAAATGTCATTTTCTATTGTTTTTTGCAAGGGAAAGCGGATTACAACAAAACAACCGGATCCTGTACACACCCTCTTTTCTGAGGCTTCCTCACGAAAATGATGAAAATGTAGCTGCGGCCTAGGCGGCGCAGGGGGGGCGCGCACCAGGGGGCCCAACAATAATTATTCTTTAGAATAAATAATGTTCAACAACAAGATAACAACACCACCTGGAGGCCCCATCGAAACCCAACCTTCCTGCGGGGGGGTAGGAACCTTTGCTGGAGGTCCCATGGGGGGGGGGGGCGAACGGGCAACCGGTGCCACCGCAGCCTCCTCAGACTGAAACATTACGAATCTTATACTCAAGTTTCTCCCAGAACAAGCATGCGCGCACCGCAGAGGCTCCCATCCACGAGCTCCTTCGTAAAACAACACAACCTGCTGGTGAACCCGGACCGGGTCAACGGGTCCACCAGCTCGCCGTTTCGCTCCACGTAATGAGACACCCCACTGGTCTATCCAGACCCCCCCCTGGAGCGCAGCGCGACGCAACACGGCTGTTGGAACAGCCTCGGTTGCGTTGCAATGCTTTGCGAGGGGGCTCACAGAATCCTACAAGGGCCCTCCTGAGGGCCTTGTACGATTCCGCAGGGATGCGACAAAAGGCCCTTTGTAGGATCCCACGGGGGCCCGACTAGGGCCCCCCGTAGGATCATGCGCCTTTGGCATTTTGCGGTCAGGAGCACCGGTTTGGGGGAAGGGTCGGAGCTTCCGGGGCCCCACATGGGTAATATGAAGACATCGGATGTCTTGGGGAAAACGACCTAGAAAGGTGTTGGAAGCAGACCGGGTGTCTTCATCCCCTCGAGAAGGAAAAAAAGACAGCGCACTTCTTCGCCATTGGCTGTCTTGGAATCAGGGAACCCCCAACGATGGATCCATCTATGCTTTGCCGACTCCGTCAATCCTCGTCTGTCACGAGCACCACCTCTCCGGGCTTGCTGAAGCTAAAGTCCGTCGGCACCGAGTCCAGCACTCCGATCGCGCAACGGAACGTGCGTCGGCTCGCGTCGCACCAGCACGGAGCCGGAAAAAATCAGCTCGGATCGGCTGCGCCCAGGTTCACAACAGCGCATCGGATCGTCGGATCGTCGAAGTACAGTGGAGACCCATGCCAAGAAACCCCCTGCTCACCTCCAGGGTACCATGGGTCTCTTGGGTGTCGATGTTTTTGCTATGAAAAGCGTGACGTTCCCACACCAAACATCAACAGACGTCCTGAGGTCTCAGGGTTGGGTGTCTTGTGGAAAGTCTCTTGTGGACTGGCCTCCACTGTATCGGAATCGAATCGAATCGGGCTGGCAAGAGCCGATATCGGAGCGGATCGATCCGGTCGAACGGGGACCCTGTGAAAGGTGTCCCTGGCCCAGGTGTGCCCCTCGGCTTTTCGCACCATTCTGGAGCCCCTAGGACCCTCTAGGCTGCGTGAGGGATGGTGTGGCTAAAAACGCATTTGAGCGACGATCAAAAACGGGTCTTATGCGAGATGACGCAGCGACACCACGCGGTGGCTTACGCGAGCCGCCAGCGCGGAGTGGAGACGAGGGCGCCTATGCGCGACCTTACGCGGGTAGCTCACGCGCCAATGTCGGGACAATACAACCCTTTTTTGCGTGCTCATTTGGTAATGCCTCAATCAGATCGAAGTCGGTACGGAAATAATGGGGACGAAAACCGACAGCAATTCCTAGTGCTTTCCGTTCGAGGCAAAAAATAGACCGCTCACCAGCGACCGCTGTCGGCTTTGGACAGCATTTGCTGTTCGGCATCGTACCCACTTCTTCGCATCCATTTCGTGCGAGCCGAATGCCCGAACCTCGTCCACGAACTCCTGGCAGTGGCGGAAGGTGGCCTTTCCAGCAAACGGCGGTGCGAGGCCGTGGCAGATGGTGTCCACCTTCCGAGGGTGCCGACCGAAGGCACGCTGGCACCGTTTCTGGCCAGGCCCATACTAGACGATGCGCCGACGGGGTCGGGGGCTCGTGTGCCCAGACATCGGGCGGATCGATTTCTTGACGACGTGAGCGCAAGACTTCGAGGCCAATCCACCCGTGGCGACAAAGGGCTCTCAAGAACGAGCAGCGGTACAGGTATCTTTTCCCCCTCAAAGAATATTTGTCCCTGTCGAAAGCAGCTAGCGAAAGCGTTTGGTCGTCCCCATGGCGCCCGATAGCGCGTCCAATATCGCGGTCGTGGTGCATCTCCTTCACATGGCGCCTTTGGGCGCCATTTGGGCGCCGGCGCTATTGAGCGCTACTTCGGGGTCGGCCAAGAGGGGGGCGTCCAAGAGGGGGGGCGCGGCATGGGCGCGGCCCAGGGGGGGGGCAGGGACGTAATGAAATAAGAAGAGGCGCCATGAGATCAGGGGAAATATCATGGGCCACGCCATGATATCCACCCCCCCTGGCCATCGCCACCCTCTTTGCCGACCCCGACTATTGGAGGATGTTCGCCGATACACGCCCAATTGAAGGGGCCCTGTGACACACAAAGAAATACACACAAATAAAACGATTCCCCATATTTTCCCATATTTGCTTGGGTTTTTGTCTTCCCCGCCGCTTCCCATATTTCGGCCTATTTTCCTGGGAATCGACGATCAATTGTGTCTGTGTGTTTCTTTCCCTCCTGACCAATGTGAGACGACTGCCTGCATTTGTTCCTCTCTCCTGTTCGATGAAGATGGCACCTTGCCGCCGGGGCACCAGCTCTGCTCTCCTCGCGGCCTCCCACTGCGGGTCCCGAGCAGGAGGAGGAGGGAGGAGGAGGAAAAGGAGGAGGAGGAGGAGGAGCAGGTGGAGGAGGACGAGGAGGAGGAGGGAGGAGGGAGGAGGGAAAAGTAGGAGGAGGAGGAGGAGGAGGAGGGACGAGGAGGAGGAGGAGGGAAAAGGAGGAGGAGGAGGAGGGAGGAGGAGGAGCAGGAGGAGGAGGAGTAGGAGGAGGAGGACGAGGAGGAGGAGGATGCCGCGGAGGACCGCGCCGCAGCGCCGATGCATCTGCGAGGTCGGCGACTCATCGGCGCCGTCGGCGTGAAGAAAATCGGGCTCCACATCGAGCCGCATCGCCGATGCATACAAGATGCGGCGCGATCCTCCAACCTCATATGCTCGGACCCTAAGTTGATGCAGCAAACAATTGAGGCGTTTTTGTTTCAACTTTTCGAATTCCGGCCAACCAAAGGGGGAACACGGCAATCCATTACATATTAAACAACTGCCATGCAAAATAGAACAAACCGAAAACGGCGCGACCGAGATCCCCCCGTACAGGGAAAAAATCTCCCACCACGAAGAGCAAAGAACATGCCTATCATATCTTGTACACGGGGGCGAAGACGCCCCCCCCTCCCTCAAGCGCCCGAGCGCCCCCCAGCTGCGAAAGCATCACCTGATACTCGGGACCCTTTGGGACCTGGACCTCTAGAAGAAGAAACAACGCAATAAAGATAAACTCTGTTGGCGCTCCGCGCGGATTTCTTGGATCTGCGCTGGACCCCCCCTCCCTGGCGCGCGGAGCGCGCCAGGGGCGGCGCCGGACGCGCCGCCAGGGGAGGCCCAAGGCGCGGATCCAATAAATCCGCTTGGAGCGCCAAAAGCTATGTTTACGATGCTTTTCCTTCTTTGACCCAAGCGCCCAATACTCGGGACCCCTTTGGGAGGCCTGGATTTAGGTCGGGCATGCCCTCCTACAGGCAGATCCTGCAAATTCAAAGAAATCAGACACACACACACACACATATATATATACTCACAAACACAGCCGGGAAACCGTCTCCAGACTTCTTCCTGCCCACTTTTGCAGATTCCTCCCGTGGAGGGACATGCCCGACTTCAGCCTGGACTCCTCTCTCGAAGCTGAGGCGCATGGACTGGGCTCCCACGGGCTCCACGGCGACGACCCGCGCGCGGCTCCCGGAGAGCTTCACGGCCGCGGCGACCCCGGCCGCGAGGCCGCCCCCCCCGCAGCACACCACCACGACGTCGACGTCCGGGCAGTCCTCGAGCAGCTCCAGGCCGCAGGAGGCGTGGCCGCGGATGAGGTCGAGGTCGTCGAAGGGGTGCACCTTTAGGTCGGACGTGTCCCCCTACAGGTGGATTTTGGACGACAACAAAAGCACATCCCCAAATGTGTATATATATATATGTATAGATACAAACAACTGAAACAAATTGTCAAAAGGAAATCGTCCCCAGACCATTTTTTGTTTGACGAGTTGTGGACATTCCCCCTGTGGACGGTAGAGGGACAGGCCCGACGTAGGTGCACCTGCGAGGCGTGGAATCCGCGAGCCCAGACCCCTTCATGAGGGAAAGGTTGGCAACCGTAGGCCTCCGAGGGGGGGAGCTCCCGAGGCCCGCAGGGCATCCACCCGGCCGGAGCCGCAGCGAGAGAGAGAGAGAGAGAGAGAGAGAGAGCCCAGAGCGCCGGACCGTGTGGGGAGGAGGGGTAGGAGGGGGAAAGGAGGAGGAGGAGGAGGAGAGGGAGGAGGAGAAGGAGGAGGAGGAGGAGGAGGAGGAGGAGGAAGGAGGAGGAGGGAGGGAGGGAGGAGGGAGGAGGAGGAGAGGGAGGAGAAGGATGAGGAGGAGGAGGAGGAGGAGGAGGAGGAGGGAGGAGGAGGAGGAGGAGGAGGAGGAGGGAGGAGGAGGAGGAGGAGGAGGAGGAGGAGGAGGAGGAGGAGGAGGAGGAGGAGGAGGAGGAGGTTGAAGACTGGAGGACGAGCAAAAACACGACGGGGGGGGGGGGGTGACAGTGGTAGGCCTCGGGGGGGTCCCCGCCGCGGCCTGGGGCCGTCACGCAGCGCCTCGGGATGGGAAACACCGCCCCCCCTGGGGAATGGCTCGAGGCGTCGAGGCCCCCCGGGGGACCCACGTCGTGCACAAATCTGACGTCGAGGTCTGGGCAGCCAACGCCCCTCGCGCCGTGAACAGAATCGCGACGGGAGGTTTCTCGCTGCGTTCGGCCTCCCGGGGCCTCTCCCGGGCCTCGGGGCCGTCAAACAACGACTCGGGATGAAAAGCCGGTCCCCGGGAGAAGGGTCCAGACTTCTCCAGGGGGCACGTGGTGAACAAAAACACCACGTCGGGGGTCTGGGAAAGTAGGGGTACGGATACGGACGGCCACACCCTGCGAAATGCTTAAGAAATCATGGGTTAAGAAATTCATAGTCTCAGAACTTGAATAAAAACCCAACATTTCCATTAAACTCTTAGGATTTTCATTGAAAAATTAAGAATAATCGAGACTCTGGCCGAAAATTTAAGTTTTCTTAAGCATCGCCTAAGGTGTACCACTCCCTCGTCGCCACGACCGGCTTCGTTTCGGGATCCTGGTCAGAGCGCGCCGCAGGTGAGGTCCAGGGGGTAGCCGTGAGGGTTCGGAATGGGCTGGTTGTCGACCACGGACCTCCCAGTGCCGATGCTGAACCTGACCTCGCACAACATCGCTCTCTAGTACACCCTGCGAAATGCTCAAGAAATCATGGGTTAAGAAATTCATAGTCTCAGAACTTGAATAAAAACTCCAAATTTCTACCAAATTTGTAGGATTTACATTGAAACATTAAGAATAAGCGAGACTCTGGACGAAATTTTTAGTTTTCTTAAACATCGCCTAAGGTGTAGCTTCTGGTAAACTTCTGTGCAGGGCGCGTGGCCGCGGAGGAGGTCGAGGTCGTTCGAGGGTTGGACCTGGAACCCCTTTCTCCGACGACGCGTTTTGTTTGTCAAAGGCGACTTTCCTCGATTTGGGCCTCTGGGGCCCCTCGTGGGTCCCTGGGACCATCGAGAATGGGTTCGGGGCGAAACACTGGCCCCGGGGAATGGGTCAGGACCTCTGGGGCCGCGGATTGAAGAAGAAGAAACGTAAGAAGATGCATGACATACGAATCTATATTCGGAAAAAGACGAATAAGATGAATATTAGTAATAATAATAATGCTTATCGTATTATTAATAATAATATTAAGAAGAAGAATAAGAAGCGGCGTAACCATTATGCGCTCGGAGCTCCGCGCGGGCGTTTTCCATCGGCGCTGTGCCCACACCCTCCCGGTGCGCCTCCAGCGCGGATTCGGGAAATCCGCACGGACCTTCGACAGTCTATGCGTATGCACTGCTCTCCTTCTTCTTCCTCGATTGGAGGGCTCCAGGAAGGTCCCCCAAACGAACATCTCATGAGGAGGCCTCTTGAAGGCAGGGTGGCCTCTTGGAGGCAGGGTGGCCCTTCGAACGCTTGTGATCATGACGTTTGCATCCTTCTTATTGGAAGCCCGAGCTATCCGGGATAAGTCCGACCTGGGGTGATTCGGTTTAGGCCCCCCTGAATTACACCTGACCGCCCCCGACCCCGATGATTCGGGAGGGGCTCGGACGCTTGAATGATCTGGGACAACTGATAACTCCAATCCGGGGCATCTCCAGATTGGGCCTCCGAGGCACGCATCAGGAAATAGATCCCCCTGACCACCCCCCGCCCTGAGGATTCGGCCTCTGCTGCTTTGTGGTTTCTTTCTCTTTCCTCGGGCACCAGGAGCCGGCCCTCGCTCTCGACGCACGCGGCCGCCATATCCAGCAACTTGGGCGAGGGCACCATCTCCACCTTGAGAGGGGGGCCGAAAATGGAGTCGGGTACACCGTGGGCGTCCAAGACAAGAGGGGGGGGGGCCCAAGAGGGGGGGTCGCAAAGCACGTCCCGCGGCATGTGCGCGAGCGGGGGAGGGGGGCCAAGGGAGTACTGACTTCGGAGTGGGGGGCAACGAGATCCAGGGAGGCATCATGGCCCTGGTCATGCTCTCTTCCGCCCCCCCCCCCCCCTCCCCTCCCCCTCCCCCCCCTCCCTCCCCTCCCCCCTCCGCCTCCCCCTCCTCCTCCTCCTCCTCCTCCTCCTCCTCCTCCTCCTTCCCCCCCCCTCTGCCCCGGGGTGCTGCCGCGAGGAATCCCCTGCCGTCCGCGTCTCCTCAGAAAGGTCTGGACGGCGCCCGGGGCATCCCCCACGAGGCCGGCATGGCCAGCCTCCGGAATGGCACGAAGGACTGCGGACCGCCTGAGCGACGAAAAGAACCGGGTCTTGCGCGAGAAGACATAAATGAAGGGGAACTGGGACACACAAATAAATGCACACAAATAAAACTATTCCCCATATTTTCACATATTTTCTGGGTTCTTGTCTTCCCCCCCACTTCCTATATTTTCCCACATTTCCTGGGAATCGTCGATTAATTGTGTCTGTGTGTTTTTTTCTCTCCTGAATAAAGGACCTTGCGCGGGGGCTTCTGCGTGCCGCCAGCGCGGCACGCTACACTGGAAACGAGGCCGCCTGCGCGCGACCTTTCGCGGGCAACTTACGCACGAACGTCCGCGCAGAGGACCCTTCACGCACGAATGTCCACGCAGATGACCCCTCAGGAGGCACGCCGGGCTCTACAGTCAGTCGACTATTGTTGCTTCTGGTACAACTAGAATGTTGGCTCGCATCGGGGTCTTCCTCAGAGCATCTCAAATGCCCACAGTGTCGCCCACTATTTCAATGATTTGCGTCTGCGCGAACAGCGGAATTTACCTCCACCCGGTTCTAAACGGGGCGCGGCACTGACGCCAGGCTCCCCCGCCGCCCTGCAACAGGGGCCACAACCACGCCGTCGCCGCGCATAATGCGACGGACCAGTTGGCGCGACGAGCGGGCGAGCCACCTGGGCCCAGGGGGGGCTCGGCCGCTCGGTTCTCGTTCGAGCCGCCCTAGGGGTGTCTCGTGCGCGAACAGCTCCCGCGAATCTCCCAAAGGGGTTTGACGGGGGTGGGGTAGCTTGGCGGTGCGCACAGGGGATCAGGAGGAGAGGGAATGCTTCTTCGAAGGAGGCTGGTTCTGAGAAGGCGCCGGCCTTGCGTCTACAGAGAAGGCCGGCGCCGTCTAAGAAGCAGCCTCCTGCTAAGCAGCCCTCCCCCCTCCCCCCACACCCCTCTCTGGGGACAGCACAGGAATGGTATCCTCTGGGGACGCGATTTCTGCGCAACGCGGCCACAGACAAGCTGGTCTGGCACAGCGCCGAAGGCGCCGCCAAGGACGTCCAACGTCCATCCAAGAGATCCGGTCGGACCTCCGACAGTGTATACGTATACTTTGTTATTGCTCCCGAACGCAAACGTGCGCGCGCGGGGGCGGTGGCTAGAAATCGGCCCACGATTGCCCTGCGACGCCCACCTGGGCGCCCATGGCTTCCAGCAGCTCCCGGCGCTCCATAGGCACAGTGTCGGGCATGAGGATCTTGGTGGGGATGCCGAGGCTGCCCCCCAAGTAGGCCACCGCGCGCCCGGCGTTGCCGGCTGAAAACGTCAAAACGTGGAGGCATTGCCAAGGGGGGTCACCGCCGGGTGAGGCGCCACTTCCTCGAGCCACCGCTCGTTTGTTTTCG